GGAAAATTTTGTATAAATTTTAAAAAAATAATATAATTCTAATATATAAAATTACTAATACTAATAATAGTTATTTTTCTCTTTTGAATTTATTTTATTTTAAATTTTTTGACGAACTTGAGTTCATATTATAAGCTCTTCATAAGTTCTATATTATTTTTTCTAACTAATTTATTATTAGTTGATGATTCTATATTATACTGATTAATTATATTGTACTGATTAATTATATTATACTGATTAATTATATTATGTTATATTATATTTCTACTTTGGCATCATTTTATTTTTTTATTTAAAATTTCTAGTATAGTATTATTCTATTATTATCTAAAAATAAGCTCCTACAAGAAGAGACCATAAGATCTTTATTGTTTAAACATGCATAAGTTTATTTGCAAACATAGCTTATTGAAGTATGAAAGCATATTTAAACTATGTGCTTAGAAAATTCATAGTTAAAAAATATGTTATAGTGGCTTTTTATGGCTATGTTTTTTGAACTCTCTTACATCCCTAAAATATATATAGGAATTATTATCAATTTCTTGTATGTAAGTATGCAAGCAGCATTGATATTTTTTCTTACTTTTCTCATCCAAGCATTTACTATAATCTATGTGTGCCAAATGAGCCAAATGAGCCAAATAAGAAATGACTCTTTATTTATTCTACTTTAGTTCTAAAATAATTTCTATTTAATCTCAAATATATATATATATATATATATATATATAAAATAATATATTTTGTCAAAGAACTATTAAGATAAGTTTTAAAAATATATAGTTGTATTGCAACTACCATACTATTTTGTATTGTATTTTCTCAGAGAGCACTCTTTTCTCTATAAGAAGTTGTAAGAATTAAACTTGTATTTCCTTAAGCATTAGAGAAAATAAATATTTTATTCATCTCAGATTGATTTTTTTTATATTTTACCCCTTGGAGGATGACATATAAAATATCTTGTTTAGACTATTATCTACTTTAATATTGTATGATTTAAAAATAGACTTATTATTAAATATAGATTGTCTAAGGTTTTTAATAAAAAGTTCATTTTTAAAATTTAGATGGCTTTACAAGCTATATAAATACATTAGTTTGCACAAATTAAATACAATAGATTACCATCTTTACTTCTTATTATATCATTATAATTTCAAATAATAATTTAGGCTAATTTGTATTAATTTAGAAATAGAGAAAAATCTATATCTTATCTATAAAATGTAGAATGTCTTATTAAAAATAAAATATTAATGATTGAAAAAATTATCAAATCATAAATTTTTATACGCTTGTAAATAGCTTTTATAGATTGAATGATAATTATTATAATATAATATATTGTATTATTTGTATTTCTATTTTATATGTCTTTAATTTAATAAATTTTAGCCTTGTATATAAAATAATATCATCTTTTCTAAAAGTAATAGTATTGATGAAGATTTATAGTACTTCATATTAAAATAGAAAATTTAAAAGTAAATAGAAGGTATATGTTATATAGTCTTTAATCATAATTTGTTAAGCAATACAAATTTTCTTCCATATCTTGGATCTTTTGTAATATTTTAGAATAGCCTTGATGATTTATTACAGATTAAGACTTCATAAGTTTGGTCCTTTGATCAATTGTAAAGGAAGTGATATATCTATATTTGATGAAGTTGAAAAGAAATAATCTTTTTAGATTAAAAACTTTTAATATCCATTGAGAAGCCAATGTTTTAAATGTTGTTTTGGAATCAAAGAGGTTTAGTCCTTTATTTTATAGTAGAGTAGCTAGAAATTGGCTTAGTATCATATTTATATATTTTTTTCTTTATTAACCTATAAAAATTTATATACTATTTTTTAAAAAAATCAAATGATTGTACTGAATCTATTTTAAATGAAATAAATAGTAGATATTATATAACATAATTTGATAAAAATATTTTATTCATTTAATTTAATTTGATTGAACACCAATATTTTAGTTTTTGATTTATACTTTTTTATAAAAAAAAAGAAGTTATAACTATGTGATGATATTTCTAAATCATACATAGTTCTTAAAAATATATATTTTACCATTATTAATCTAATACCATTAATATCTAGTAGTATAAATATTAATATAGGTAAAATTGAGTAAATAAATAAATAAATAAATTACCTCATAATTTTTTATTTTATGATAAGACCTCTTACTAGGGCTTGAAAGAACGCCCTTCTACCTAGAAAGTCTTCAATTTTCTTAAGTTACTTATTTTTATGATATTCCAAAAGGTCTTGAAAAATTTACTACCTTCTCTATTTGGTCTTAATGTCCTATCACTTCTTAGGACTCTTAAGATATGTAGTATGTGGAATATCAAGTATTTTCTCATGAATTTGAGAAGCTTTGTTTTTCTTGTATAAATAGAATAAGCAGTCGAAGATAATTTGGTTTAATTCTTCAATCTCTTATTTTGATTCTTCTAAAGTATATTTTTTTTAAATTACGTTTTTTTTTTGTTTCTTCACTGATTTGAAAATATATATATATATATATATATATATATATATATATAATAAAAATTATTGAATGATATATATATATATATATATATATTAGTACTTTTTCATATTCTTTCATTGTTTTTTAAATCAGGCTATGATATCTTATTGGTGGAAAAATTCTTCTTGCAATATTATGTCTTAGAGATCAAAGTTTAATCTATCAATCATATTCCAATCTCCTTCCATGATCAATTCCATGTCCCTTCAAAAAGTAAAGTGAACTTTGCAACATTCTCTTTCCTTGTCTTAAAATTCATTTAGTACATCAACATTTGTTATACCTATCATTTCTAATAATTAAAATTTCTAAGATAATCTATAATTTTTTGTTATCCATGAGTAAACTGTTAGATATAATTAAGTATTTAACAGAAGGTTCTAAGAGGATATAAATCCCTCTTTTATTTGTTCCATCTTTAATTAATTATAAATAAAAGCTACTTCTAAAATAAAGTAATTTAATTTTTTTAATAATTTTTGCCTTAGTTCACTTATATTAATACTATTAAGCTTATTTAGTTGCTATCTTATTATCTTTCTTTTTAAATATATATATATATATATATATATATATATTAGTATTAATTTTAGATCTAAAAATATATAAGGATTCTTCTATATCAACTCATTAAAAGATTTGACTTCAACTTTAGTAAACAATGCTTGTATTCATAGCTTAAAGTTGGTTGTTGCTAAAAAGAATTCCTTAAGAAATCTAAGTTTGTGGTTAGCATTTATTTTAAAATTAGAAAGACCTTTTTTCTCTTCTATAATCAAAATTGGTACATGTAGATATCCATAGGTTGGTTTTTTGTTTGAATTTGGTCTTTGCATAGTTGGCATTGTATTTTCATGAAGTAACAACTTTTTCTATAACTTTTATAAAATAAAATAAAATAAAATAAAAATCTTGTTTATTTCTCTAACTTTGGCAATCTCTTAGATAAATAATCTAAATAATGCTTATGGTTGTAAAGTACTTTAGTTGAGAGTTGGTTTTGATCTTGTGGTTTTTTCTTATGGAGTTTGTTATTTAATTTTTCTATATTGAATTAAAGTAGTTAGAGTCACATGTATCTTCATGGTTCCATTTGGATTGGAATTCTTCTATTAATTGTTACCTAATTGCATGTTTTAAGTAAATAATTCATCAAGTTTATAGTTGTATAGCCAACTTTGAGTTCTAATTTTGATTAGAATCTTGTAAGATTGGAGAAAGGTTGAATAGACTCTATTTTTATATTGGAGCAAAATTTGGTTTATAAACTTGGTTCTATATGTATCTTATAGTTTTTTGTTATTGTTTACAAATAGCTAGAAACTTTTCCTTTCATTAAATGCCTTGTGGTTGGTGTGAATGGCTATAAATTTTTTTAACTTTTTTTGTTTTAGTATTCTTGTATAAATAAAATTTATCAAGACAAAACTTTGAAAAAAGAATATATTCTTGCATCACTATAAATAAAAATAAATAAATAAATAAATAAATAAATAAAAATAAGAGATAGATATAAGATAAATAGAAATTAAAATTCTTATTATCAATTATGAAGAATGTATAGATTATTGTGTTAAGATTAGAACACAAGAAAGGTATTAACATAAGTGAGGATGGTCTTATTCTTGCCTCCATATATAAATTCAACAAGAAAATCTTATAGAAGCTTTTTGAAGGAGTAGAAGGCTTTTGGCCCAACCATTAAAATGTAAGTTGCTTTGTACACAACATCCTAAAAGTCAATGACATAGTTGCATTTTGATGAAAGTTATTTTAGTTGCTTATGGTTTGGCTACCTTACAAATTTTTAAATTGCTAAAAGAAATATAATATTAATTTTTTGATTTGTAAACAATAACAAAAAATTGTAAATATAAATGAATGTGTTGACATGTTTTATCTTATATGTAAAGAATTTATGCAAAACAAAGATGAGAGTTAATAGATTTTTGTTCTTACAATAGAAGGTTAAATCTTTCTTTTAACAAATATTGATATAATCCAATACAAAGATATGTACTAGAGAGGTTCTCCTGTGAAATAAGGATTCTTTAAATAAAGGTCCAATACAAAGATATGTACTAGAGAGGTTCTCCTGTGAAATAAGGATTCTTTAAATAAAGGTCTTGGATTTGGGTTTAAATAATATCACTATTTTTGGTTCACTCCTTCCATTGATTTATCAACCTAAATCAAACAAGGTTTAAAATATTGCTTCTTCCATTAGACTATGGTCTATGAAATTAAGCAATCATTGAAAAAAAAGGAGATCCAACTAAACCTACATTTAGATGTACCCTTAGTTCAGATATTCCTCCTGCATAATGCTCACTTTGGGAGTAGATTCTCTATGATCCAAAAATCTACAAAAGTTAATCAGAAAGATGATATTGCTGTAGGAATTGGGTTCATAAAATACGGTACAAATTTAGCGAGGTCATAAAAATATTCATCCTGACAAGACAGTAACACTTCAGTGATTTTTTATTTCCGAACAGCATAACCGTAACAGATAGGAAGGGACCCCCTAAACTAATGAACCTAAACTACGTCTCTGGCTTCATCGCCTCGGCTTCTTCCCGGATGGATTGAAACAGAACTGAAGACAAATACCGCTCCCCAAAGCTAGGAAGAACCACCTGCGAGAAAAATTTCACAATGACAGTGCTTTAATAACCAGACAGATTACTCCATATCCCAATTTAGGAAAGCACACAAACCATAAATCAAGATCTTAAAAAACGAATTCAAAGAAGTGAAAAGAGAGACTGAATAGATTGCTTACAGCAATTAATTTGCCCTTATTTTCTGGTCTCTTGGCAACCTCGATTGCAGCAGCTGTAGCAGCTCCTGAGGAGATTCCCACCTGCCATCCACACGGTCAACATGCAGCTCACGTCAGGCTGGATCGCAGTAAAATAATGTCACAATCCTGGCCCTTATTTCAGGAAATAGACTTTGTATATACAATGTGCCGGACAGATTTACAGGCCTGCATTATCAAAGAACGAATCTAAGACCCTGAAGTTGAAACAGAAACTGAGGACTAAATGCAGGATATGATTGTTTCTTTCCATTCAGAACACTTCTGCCCAGAACACTGTTGACATACTTTCACATCTATCAGATAATGCGACTAAAGATGGAACAATATCGACTCCTCCTTGTAGATGAACGTTTTCGAGTATATGATCCACAGCACTTACCAGCAAACCCTCCTTCAAAGCAAGTTGCTTAGCCATTTCCACAGCATCATTGCTGGAAATCTGTAGAACCCGAAATCTTGTCGAGTGAGCTTAATGAAAATTTGATTCCTACTAACGCAGCAAAGTAAAAAATTGCAAGGCCTCAACTAACCAAATTACACTAGGAGTAAGACAATGGCTTTAAAGAAACATAAATAACCTGGATAATTTCGTCAAGGATCTCCACGTCAAGAATGCCAGGAATGAACCCTGCTCCAATACCCTGAATCTTGTGAGGTCCTGCCATAGAAACATGTCAAGTACTGATTTCATATTTACTGTTACGTCGTAATATTCCTAGTTTACACTCAAGTAAAGTGATGTTCATAGTAACCAAGCATGGTCTTGCCTGCCCAAAGACAGAATCTATGGTCTGATATAATTTAGTCTGAAAAGGGTGTAGGATGTTTAGAATGTAGTTTTGTACCTGGCTTGCCTCCAGAAAGTACACTGCTCTCAGTTGGCTCAACTCCAATAACCTGTAATCAAAACAGTAACAAAGGTCAGAATAATGAGATCTACCAGGATGCACTGCGAGTTTACAAGCATGCAAAATCGAACATCAATATTGGAACTTCAGATGGCTTTCAACGATCTACGAAGAGATGACTAAACTCACTTTCACACCAGGGTTTTGGCTTTTCAAGAAGCGACCGGCTCCAGTTACAGTTCCGCCAGTACCAATACCAGCAACGAGAATATCAACCTTACCAGCCGTGTCTTCCCAGATCTCTGGCCCGGTGGTCTCAAAATGCACCTACATGACACAAACAACGATCAGCAACTACAACATCTTCTGATAAACATGAGAACTACCCTCAACTATCATTTTTTCAAGACTTCACATAAGTCAGTATTTACAACCGCCACATGCCGGATGAAATACCTTCGGGTTAGCTGGATTCTCAAATTGTTGGAGCATGTACGAATTGGGAGTTTTCTTCACAATTTCTTCCGCCTTCTGAACAGCGCCTTTCATTCCCTTGGCTGGGTCGGTAAGAATGAGTTCCGCGCCGAAGGCCCTCAATAGAATACGTCGCTCCAAACTCATTGATGCAGGCATAGTGAGGATGAGCTTGTACCCTTTGGCAGCAGCGATGAAAGCCAAGCCAATGCCGGTGTTGCCACTGGTCGGCTCCACAAGGATGCTCTATTTATGAAAAAAATTATGAGATGTTAAGGTTCCAAATTATCTGAAGATACTTTTGTTCCAGAATTCAGTAAAATACTTCCAAGTTGCCCACGACTAGGAAGTATTCTCTACAAAAATTCAAAATATACAAGGATCAAGATTTCGCTGAAACACAAACCTTTCCTGGAGTAATCGCACCCTTGCTCTCTGCGTCAGTGATCATGCTGAATCCAATCCTGTACGTTGAAAACAATGAAATGTCTCAGTAGCAAGCAACAGCACTAATCTAATGACATCCTCTAGATTTGAAACATAACATAAGATCGTTTGCCTCACCGCAGATGCGACAGCATGAGGATCCAGACATATAGCAACCACCTGATTAACTCATCTGCCTTCTCTCTTGTTCATAGGTTATTTCATAGGACTGGGAGCAGAATTTACAGCCATGTTGCAAAAACCAAGTAGCAAAACTTGAGGACATTTGAAGAAGCACACCTATCCTTGACACTGCAGCAAGGCTCCATGATCTCCAACTTGGCCGCAATGTTGGCGACACAACCGTCCACCACTGTATTGAGATAAACCATAGGTGTTTTTCCAATCAACTGCAATAAACCACATGTAAATTAAAGGGGTAGAGAAGCTGATCATCACATCGATTCGACCGAATAAATACTGGCCATTCCAGATTTGATAATCTTGCATCGTGCATGATGTGCAATAGTTACATTCAAATCCGAATCGCATCAAATTCTTCAAAGAACACGAATACTACTATCTTGTATCACAAAAATATGTTCTGAGTTTCTGGCCTTCTCAAAACCCTAGTAATTCACTGCTTTGATATTTTGCGGAACCATAGAATGAGTCCCCGACAGGCTTTGAATCATCGCTGAAATAAGTCACTAACACAGAATTGACAAATCTAAGCCTAACACTTTCAGGAAGAAGAGAAGAGGCTGCAATCAGTCGTGACAATCAGTTCTGATAGCCTCGCACGCCCTCACCAAAACAAGAAGACAAACACCACAATTTTGCAATCAAAGCACCACAATAACAGCAGAAGCATATACCTGAGTAACATCATCCGCAATGTTCATTTCCAGCTCCTTCTCCACAGACACAGCCTGACTGACGATACTCACTCTCCTTGTCCTGTCCACAGTGCTAAGTCCCGTTCTCGTAGTCTTCAACTGACCACCAGCCATCACTGACTTGAAAGCGGCCGCCGTCTTCACCCTTCTGGCCGTAGAGTCCCCGGCCTTCACAACTTGAGGCGCAGCAACGCATCCCACGGCCACATTGCTCGCTTGCATGAGAGCCGCCATGATGCTCGAGACTCACAAACCGAGCAACGCAACAATGGCGATCAAACTCACAAGAGAAAAAAACCAAGCAACGGCAGCAAACGGAGGGGAATTCGCTGGAGAATGCGGGAGGAGAGGAGAGGGTTTAGGAAGGATTTGCCGCAATTTGACGAGGACGAATATCTTCAAATCGATGCGGAGAGGAAGCTGGAGGAATATTCCTCATCGGACGCCTCTGTAGCACCCCCTCGCCGCAGATATTCCGGGCCATGGTTAGATTCTATTCCACCGCATCCAGCCCCCGCCGTTTGCTACCAATGAATGAGTGATGGACAGAATTTGGATGAGGAATCTCTTCGTCTACTTTTCAGTGAATCAGTCCGTGCACTACATCCGACTACCATGGCAACACTTCTGCGATAAGATTAGGTTTAAAATTAGGGAATGTAAAATAGACCCATGCTTTTACTAAAAAGATCCACTTTTGATGAAGAATACTGTAATCATGATGAATGATGAATGTGGTTGGTTTTTATTGGTTGCAGATCTAATAATGAAAAAATGAATCTAAAAATCTTTATTTTTTTTCATGACAATTAGGACATGTGGGCGGATTTAGTAAAAACTTGGGTCTATTGCAAGATGATTGACAATTAAGTTACCCAATAATTTTTTTTTTTTTTTTTTCTTCCTCCATGAAAGATTTAATAACACTTGTAATTTTCATATCTAAAAATCCACTTTGAAATTTGAAAAGCCATGCTATAAAATATAAAAGTCGCCCTAAGATTTTTGTGCTTGCTAAAAATAAATATCCTTTGTGAATCCTGATTTTGGAGAGGATATAGAAGAAGGTGAAATCATGAGATGAATAAAATTATTCTTTTGTCACAAGTCTAAATACATCAATTTATATCTTGATTCTAAAAATTCAAATATATATATATATATATATATATTCTCTTCATGGCCATTTATGATACAATTAACACTACTTCTCAATTTATTTTTAAAAACTTGGCCTACTCACAATATCATTTATACCACCTTAACTTTTTATCTCGTATCTTTTAGGCTATTTTTTCTAAGTACGCAGTCAATTCAATTATGCTTCCTAGTTTTAGCCAATCAAAATATTATCTCTTCGAATCAAGATTGTATTGATGTGAAGCAAATAATAATATTTATTTAATGTTGATTTTCTTAACAAATATATTGCAAGCTTATAAATTATTTGATATCGATATAATATCAACATCTTGTTTTTAATTCTAACTATATAGGTACTTAATTTTATTTAAGTTTATTCAAATGTAGCCTTAACTAAACATTTTTAAAACGATTATTTGATTATATTTAAATGTAAAAACTCAGATTTAAAAAAAATAAAATAATTCAAGATATTTTTTAAATTAATGCTAGAATAATGCAATGATTAGAAAGTTAAGTTTTTTTGCTATAAAATAACCAATAATTTTTTATTTGTGATTTTCTAATGAAATAGAAACTATATTATATATATTAACTATATTCAAATCATTTTTTATTTTATAGCAAAAAACTTAACTTTTTAATTTATATATATATATATATATATATACATACACATGTAAATACTAGCAAAAAATATTTCATATTTATTCTTTCTTTCTTTTTTAAAATAATGTATAAAAAATAATTTATGTACTTTAGTATGCATCTAAATTGTACAATGAGTGTATTGGCTAAATTAAAATCAATACAAATACTCTTACTAAAATTAAAATTTTTGATGAATAAAATAATGCTATAAAATTATTTTGTAACATTAATATCAAATATTTTAAAGCTTCAATTCATCAAAAAAATTACATGTTATAGAAGTGACTACATCTCATTTATTCCTTCAAACTAAAATTTTAAATAAAATTGTAATCAAAGAAAGAAAAATAACTTTTAGAACATTGTCGTTCAAAAGCAAGACTTTAAATGACAAGAAGATTATAGTGATTTTTGAAATAAATATGAAATTTATACATGATAAAACAATTTCTATTCATTGTATTGTCTATCTTAAAAGTTTATAAACTTATTTAAGAACTAATTTCTACTTGGTCTTCAACCGTCTATTTTATTATCAACACTTCTTTTCTACCATTCATTTAATTTAATTCAAAATCAAATATTAAACTTCAGAAATCAAATTGTGATATTGTCAACTGTAGTGAAATAATAACAACAACAATCATGACAATGTGTTGCATAAAAAATTCATCCAATCTAACTTAAAAGGGAGTTTGAATTATAAAAATAACAATCAAAGTATGAAGTTTAGCTTTAGATTTAATAAAACTTAAGAATTATTATTAATTTTTTAAAATTTGATGAAGTTTGATATATAAAATTAATAAACCATCTTTCTAGATATTTTAAAATAGTAATAATTTGAATAAAAAAACCAAAAAACATAACCTATAATCTACACACTTTGAAGTATATGACTACATTAGTTAAATTATTACTTAACAAAATTTAAATAAAACAATGATGTCTTCATCATTTATCAATACATATTAGCATAATAAATGTTATCATATGGCAATGCTAATATAGTTTATATGTAATTGATAATTTTCAAAAAATTATTCTAAATAAATAGATAAAAATTCTTTTATTGACAAAAGTTTTTACAATCTTTTTAAAATTAAAAAATTAAAAAATTAATTATTATTTTTTTTAAAAAATACTACAATATAAAAAATAAAAATAAAAAATCTTTCTTTTTTCTAAACAATAAATAATATTAGATGCATACATTCTTAATTGACATAAAATATATTGCAACTACCTACAAAATAACCACATTAATTTTGTAAAGTAATTTGGTTATATTCTAATTCTATGTAATATTTAAAAATAAGATTAATAATAGTTGTGAATAGAATGGAGCTTAAAGGACTTATGTGGTGGCAAAAAATTAAAATTTTTAAGACACAACACCTATATTGGTAAGTATAGAATTAAATGATATTTTATTCCTACAATGTGCCATATCACAACTACAACCATATATTCAAACTTTAAACTTCTTTATGTATGTGGATGATAAAATATATAAAAAAGTATTGAGTGGTCATCTCATATTCATCCACATATCTTCTATGAAGCATCATGCATAATATTTCTTTACTAAGTTGATATTTAGTTTTTTATTTTAAAATTAAAAAAAAATTAAAATTACATGGAAGAGGCACTTACTAAAATATTGATAACAATTTGTCTTAAAACATATAGAAAGATTAAAAAAATGAAAAAAAAAGAGCCAAAAATAGTATGGATTGATTTGATGAAAATTGGTTTAAAAAAATCATCTATCTTCAAACTTGAGTCCACGGAGCAAGAGAAGATAGAGCCTCCCTCCTTCTAATGTATTTCATTGTGATGGTTTTGTGGCCGCAACAAAGTAGAGTTCCATGAGTAGATGTAGAGAGAGAGGAAAGTATATTGATGCAACAAAGAAAAGGCGAGTATAATGTAGTGAGCATGGATTGAACATACAACCTTGTTTTGTATGGTTTTCATAATAAAATCTCTACCTAGGTTAAAGTAATTTTGAAAATTACATTGTACTTTAGTGGGGCCTTTTGGTTAGATTGTTGTACTCAGATCTACTTTCATAAGCCATTAAGGTAGTTGAGATGTTAGTATGATGGTTTAAAAACTTCTATTCTAAAACAATCAAGTAGCCAGGGAGGTCATACAATAGATAACAAAGAAATAAAGAGATCTAGACTTAAATTTTTGTAGTCAAATGCTCTTTGAGTTAGTTGGTGTGACCTTACTTTTTTTGAGTGAGAAGTTGTTGTTATGATGGATAATATATGTTGAGTAAGAAGTATTCCTTGTCATATGCGATCTATCAATTATAATCATATTTGCTGAGATGTAAGCCTTAGAAGTTGTATATCATTTTTTCTATATTTACTACTTGAAGTAGATTGGCTTGAATGTTTAATGTTAGATCTAATATACTTTATATTTTATTTTCTATGGCTATAATTAATTAAGTCATTTGTAAAAAGTGTGATAGTAAAAAGGGAGTGATGACTAGTTTTAGTGCAATAGTAGCCATAGTAGCATCAATCTTTCTTTGAAGATTGTCCTATAGGAATTGAGTCAATCATGGACTAAAATACCTACTGAGGATATTGATTGATAGTTGGAGATATCAGATGCCTATTTTATTGCGAGTTATTGAAATATAATAGTAATAGAATCTTTCAATATTGATAGCAAGGTGGTAGTATTTGATAATGTATTCAAGAAGATGTAAATTTCTATCAGGGTGGAATTCAAGACAATTAAATGAGAGCATTCAAATACATTAAAAGTTATCAAATCATTTGATAATTGAGTAATAATTTCTTCATTTTTTTAGATAGTAAGATCATGTAGGACCTCTTAGAAGAATTGTTTGATGGCTAAGTCCATGTTGTTATCAAGAGGCATAGATAGTAGATTGTCTATGTGAATGTACTGTATTGATATGTTGTATAGTCAGTTGGATAGCATGGTTGCTAATTGTTGTAGTAGAAAGCTTAGTAGTAGAAGAAATTTACATCTAGAGAGGTCAGAATGCATGACACAAAAGATAGCTATTGTGATCTATATCTTTTTGAAAATATTTGTCATATTTTAAATCTATGGGCCAAGTATTTGATGTAGATTATAGAATTTTAGACTTCCGTTGTGACATGGATCATGGTCTTTCAAGTATAGAAGTTGGCTGCTCTTAGATTAAATGATGTGTTGTTTAGCTCATGAAAATACTTCTAAATCCATAAATTCTATAAAAGTGCATGTTTTACAAACTTAAAGGTCGTAGTAGAGTTTATTACACATGAGATTCTATTATTATAGTATAAAATTGTGATATTTTTGCCTAATTCTTGGAAGGGTGCCAAAAAAGATATGGATCCATATTGTATAGAAGTTGGATAAACTTACTTTTATGCATGAAGTAGAAAAAAAGTTCCATACTAGTACAACCATTAGGCACATCATGAGTGTGTGTTTTGCAATTTCTATTATCAAGTTGCAACTTATACATTTTTTTTCCGTCTAGCATATAGTCTCTATTGTCCAATCAGAAGATCTCAACTAATATGAGTTAGTGCATGGCTGA